GGGGGGGGGGGGCTTTGACGTTGTCAGCTAGTCTAGCCATGACGGGAGCAGGGTTTCCCACGAAAGTCACGGGCCCGGAAAGCAAAGCATCCTATCCGCGTCTCTGACCTCTTCACCCACTCGAGACGTGTACTTTGTACATGCAGGTGCCCCCCAGCGCACACACAATGCTTTTATTGCGACGTGTCTGGTAGCTACTTTCACAGATTCAAGCCCCCTGAGCTGAACACCGACCTCGATCACAACCACTCCGTATCCAACGCAGACCGCTCTTCAACGATACCGTTCCAAGAAGTTAAAAGGCCTCGCCGATTCGACCCAAGCGGCCAGGGAAAAACTCGACGAGGCGAGGGCCCTGCTGGCTGACGCAGGATCTTCCTCAAGGGGGAGAAGTGCCACCGACTGTGCCAAGGAGAACGCCGCGCGCTTTGTACGGGCTTGGGAGAGGGAGACGTCCAGGGCGGAACGGGCGCAGCTCCTGGAGGCGAAGAGGTCCAGATCAGAACTTGGACAGGTCTGCGCTTTAATACCCGAGATTTTGTGTGGCATTCCTTCCCATCCAGCGGATGGACACACGAGCACACGAGCACCTAGACGGCACGTAGCCTTTCGAAGTTCTACGTTGTTGAGGGCATTGAAGTAAGGTCTTGCTTCGATGTAAATGCCCAGGCTATTTTACAACACCGTTGTTTAAAATTCACCTCAAGGATATATCTTGGATTTGGTGTGTGCGGGGAGGTTGTGTGTGGTTTCAGTGCAGGAAGATGGGCTGAACGTATTGGTTTGATCTTCAGAGTGAATGCGTTCTAAAAGCTTGGCGACTGCAGGGTTTGCCCGTTTTCTGTACTCCCATCTAGTCTTGGCAACGGAACATCTCCTACAGTCTATGTTAGTTGATTGTTTTTTCATATTCGATATACCGCAACGACTGCTAATCCCCAGGAGGAGAGGATGATTCTGTCCCGAGAGGCCAAACGAAGGGCCGCTCTACGGCGAAAAGATCCCAAACCGCCGACCCACAATCACCGGGCAATCGCGATCGCTCCAGACGAAGCAAACGATAGCATAAAGCATCGAAAATCTCATCCTGTGGTAAAGGACGACGTCGACGTGCCCTCTCCGGTAGGAGATCGAAGCAAGGTTGCGCTGGCAAAGACAAGCGTATCGCCTTAAGCGAGATAGGCCGGCGATGTAGTGGCTCAGTAGGATTCAGAAATAGGCGCGCGTGTTCGATGGGATTGTGGGGAGCAGGGGTTGTTTTTTGGAGGGGTGGTCTCGATGAACCCTTGATGATGGCCTCACTTGATACCATGCGGAGTCATTTGTGGTGCGTCGAAATGTTACATCTTGTGGTTGACCGGAAGGTTTTCAGTTGCACTCGGTCTGGGCACAATACACACCTTACATTGTACTACAACACTTCTCAAGCAAAAAACGCTTGCTGCGTACATCAATAACACCCGTCGTTGGGGGAATCACACAACATGAACAGGAAAAACCGGGTGACGTCAACAAGCAGCTGGATGAGGATTGCAAAGAGGACGACCAAGGAACACACGAAGAACACGATCGCCGGGAGGATGTGAAGCTCAATGGCGGTGAACATGACGAAGAGGGAGAGGAAGAGAAAGAGGAAGAACCAAGCGCTCTGGAAACAATTCTGCCCCGGCTTCCGGCCGCCCAGAAGGAAGTGTTCGTCAAGGTGGAAGGGGTTTCTGGCCTCAGTGCCCCGTTCGCAGGAAGAGGAAACCGCGTGTACGCTAGAATCTTTTGGGGTGGAGAAGAGGTAAGGAGTAGGTCTGGCGTGGATGACATGACGACAAACTCTGGGGGTGGCGCTGCCGTGATGGAATAATAGTGGTACACTTCCCCGTGGCGACGGCGGAAACTAAACAGCCAACGGCGCGATGATTTACTACAGAACAAGTTCCAATTGTATTCACACCAAAGGCTTTCGCTCTTTTTTTTTTATTTTAGCACGTGGTTGCTACAAAGCCAGGACTAAACAATAATGTTGTCCGTTCTTTTGTACTCCCCAACGCGAAACACTGTCATACGTAAACCATGCGTGGTAATGTGCACTCACTCGACACGAGGAAGGTGGCGCGGACAAGCAGTATCACCCCTTCTCAGCAAGCACCTCTCCACCAGCCGACTCCAGCCGTCACTGCTCCGGCAGCTTGCGTTCAAAGCATCCCCAGGGGAGGCAGCAACAGCAACGACAGCGTTAAGAAGGTGGACGTACTCGCGGGCGGAGAAAACCTTGCAGACAAGGTTCGCGCCGCCGCCGGCACCGCCGCCGCGTCCGTCGCACACGCCACCGCGGCGGCCGTTCACGCGTCCGGGGGAGGAGGAGTAGGAGGTACCATGGAGGGCCACTGGGAGCAGGAATCATTCGTCTTGCCTATCCCCGACAGTGATGGCACAAGCCGTGATAGCGACGCGGGCAAGAACGTTGACCTAGAGACCGTTGATGGCCTGTTGGGGTCCAATGTGCAAGGGGCTGGTGATGGAGGCGGTGACACCGCAGGTGGAGACAGCACCAGTGCCAGTCTCGATGATGGTGTCCATCTGCGCGTTGAGGTTTGGCAAGGCAAGCACTGCCATGGCCAGGTGAGTGCCACATTTGACTTCTGGGACAGTTAGCCCTCGAACGCCCATGGACTTGCCCTTCTCAGAGCATTTCAGACTGTGCGCACGTCAATTACAGGAGCCAGACGCTTAAACCCGTGCCTTATTCCTGGCAGTCAGGCTTTATAAAAAGCGTGGCCCCAAAATACGATGGAGACCCGATGTAGCGCGATCAACATTCTCCTGTCACGTATTTTCGGCTACTGCACCGGTAAGTTCTCCACTCCCAACAGAGCCGTAACTCGCACAACCGCGGTTGTTCTTGCCGCTAGCTTTTGAGAAAACCTGACAACGCCACATTTCTGACATCCATTCGACATATACGTGTTTGTGCGCTCTTCCGACAAAGCGTTTTTCGGAATGTGCGGTCCGGTCCAGACGTGAGGGGGTCTACCGGATATTTCCGGTCGTTTTTTGAACTCATCGTGTGCAAGCCTCGTACCTCACAAAACTTGTGCTTGTTTAGACGTATGAAGAGTGTTGTTAACAGTTTTCACCACGGACATACTCCTCGCCTGTACCCACTGCAAGCTCGCATATACGGGAAAAGTCTGTGGTTGAATGTCCTAGTCAATCCCGCTGCCCGACTTCATGTCCCCCCTTGTGGTCTACCGTGGTTACGGATGCCGCGTTCGTTCATTCAAACAGGTCGACCTAGCGGGCAACGAGCTCTTGCGCATGTGCAAGAAGGTACAGAACGCCACGCCTGGAGGCCGAAGTGCCTTTATCGCCGAGGGCGGAGATGGACAGATTCGTCTCCCCGACCATTTCCCTCACTTCTTACCCAACTCTGAGGCAAGGCCTTCTGTGTGTGCAGTATATTTTTAGCCTTGGCGCAATGCCGTAAGTAGTCGTACCGGAACCAATAGGCCTACAGTTGCTGAAAGTAGCGTAGTAATTGCTTTACCTTTATCATCTAGGGGCGGGTGCGTCACTTCAATCTCTCTTGACAGCACGTCCATTGGCACGACAGGGAGGCCTACATCGAGTAGGTTTTATCGTTGTACGCGGTACTCTTTCCAAAGAAAACGCCCCCGCACCCTACGCTCTTTCTACTGTTGTACCCTTAGGCATTCCGGCCCTACAAGCTCGCCCTAGTTTCTCGCGAAGACGACGGGCACTACAGGGAATCCTCGGCCGCGGCTCCCGCACGGCTGACTCTCACCTTGTTGGCTCTGGAGCCCGGGCAAGTGGTAGCGGCGCAAGCACAGCTCGCCGTTGCGCTCGAGGGTGCTGGATCGCGCATCTTACGGCAACAGCAAGATGGTAAGAGTTGCGCTGAGAAATTTCGGGAGGGGTGCGAGACGTCGAGAAGACAGCCAGCGACACTTCAGTCTGTCCTGCTTGGGGTCGGAATCGACCTATTGGCACCGCGTCTATTGGGCGTACAGTCCATGAGGGACGTAAGCAGGTAGAGAAAGCACCGTTCGATTTTGCTGAATAGGGGTGTATGTCTTGGGAATGAAAATGCATTGTGAGGCACGAGGCAAGCACAGCGTACAGAAGCATCACCGCTTACGTGGGCGCGTAACGTCCTTGTGCTCTTGCCTTCCAACCGAAGAGTGCCCCGACGCTGGAAACGGTACGTTGGATCCCGGGGGTAGAGGCGATAGCACTGCCAGAGAGGGAGCTCGGGCGAAAGCAACGGGAGTAGCCGAGGACTTGGTGAACGTCCTATGCGCGCGACGAAGCCCCCTATGCTTTCGGGTTCAGCCCCTGGTCATTCACCTTAATTCTTTCAAAGACGACAGCAACACGAGATGGACAGGAGGGTCCAGTCTATTCTTGGTGGCAAAACGCCAAGTGCTCGCCACTGCACCCGAGCAGGGTTCATATCTGGACAGCGACGGGGAAAGCGGGGTATCCCGGACGGCTACCGCTTCTCGTTCTGCCGCTGGCGCGCAGGGCGACTTGTCCATCGTACGCCGACATGGCGCAGGTGACCGCAGTCACAACGAGAACAGGCGCGTTGTTGAAGAAGAGGAGCTCGGCCGAACGGCGCTCTTCGGCATCCACTCTGGTACCACCATCGTGCCGGGCACGTCGTTTACCATCCCGCCTAGCGCCCTCGTGGCGGATGTCAAGCGCTTGAGCCGGAACGGGAAAGGTGGGGCCACCTCATCGATATCTGACATTCGGGGCGAGAACAGATCGGAGGTAAGACTAGTCCTAGAAATCGTCCAAGGCGGCGAGACGGGAGGCGGGCGTGGGTCGGTTGCTCCTGGCGGGCAAAGGCTGCCTTTCCTAATGAAGCGGGCAACTGCCACTCGAGATTCAATATCCGAAAAAGGTGAGGGCGGCGGGGCCAGGGTGGTAGCCCGTGCGACCCTCGATGCCGGGTTCTTGCGCCGTACGATCGGCTGCCAGCGGTCGGTGGGAATGACGACGGTGGCTCCCTCGGTGGGGGAGACGGGCGATGCCAAGCACAGCAAGGGGGAAGACGGTCAGTCGCCAACCAGTTCTCCTTTCGCTCGGCTGGATATAGCTGGACACGTCGTTAGCGCCAGACCGGGGCGACCGCGGCTCAGACTCCAAGTGCTAGAGTGCCAGAACTTGAGGGGTGCGGACATGCTCGGCAAGAGCGATCCCTGTGTTCTGGTGTTTTGGAACGGGGTGGAGGTTGGCCGCACGCCGATCGCTCGCGACGATCTACATCCCGTGTTTTCGGCCGCCATGAGTACGTTCCAACTCCCCCTCCTACCCCCGCCGACATCAAACCTCCAATCTGGAGACGGGAGGAGTGGGCGATCCAGCGTCCAGAGGTCAGCCAATTGGCGAGCGTATACCCCGGAGCTGCGCCTGGAGGTGTGGGACATGGATCGAGACACATTCAGGAGGAAGTGGAAGAAGGGGCAGCTCTTGGGGAGCGTGGACCTGCGTGGCCCTTACGGCATCGCTCCGCTCATCGAGGCGTCAACAGCAGTGCAGGCTCCGGGCGTGGGGACCACCGCTAACGTGGACAACAAGATTCCCGGGGTGTTTATTCGGCTTCGCGCTCCTGATGGCCAGGGCTCCAAGCACGGGGCGGCCGGAGGCGAGGCTGGGCAGGTCTCCGCCGGGGTGATGTCCATCCGAACCTCGATCGAGGACCACACCGATGACTCAGAAGCGTGGATATCGCAAGCGCCCAAAGCCTCGACGGGTTCTATCGTCACATTTCGTGAGGCCAGTACAACGAAAGTCGGAGCTGTGGCTACAAATGCCTTGGAGTTGGAGCGCAGTCGGCCGGCACAGTCGTCACTCAGTTCCCGGGGTACCACTCTTACGGCTGAGGCAGGTCGCAAGACCAGTCTAGGAATTCACTGTCTCGATGCACGAGGGTTGCCCGCGGGATGCGATGGGTACTGCCGGGTGTTTTGGAACGGTAGGCAGGTTGGAAGCACTCTCTCAGCGTCCTGCTTTGCTCATGGAACGCGCCACACCGCCGGATTAGGCCACGCGGCGGCTGCGTCGGTGTATCAACGGAATCCGGTTTGGTGGACTTCTTCGGATAAGATACTCTCTGATGATGATCGCGGCTGCCGAAAGCCTAGCCTTGATAAGTGCAGCGGTGCTAACGCCGTTGTTCCTCTGAACGAAAACCCCACGGTAGCAGACGAGTTGGTGCTGGAGGTTTTCGACGGAAGCGTGCGCAAAGAGGGGAAAAAGAGCACCGCCGGCATGCTTGCGAAATGCCGCGCCTCGTTGGGGGAGTCCGTCGCAGGAAAAGATGCCGCCGATCTAAAGGCTGACGAGATCGGGGTGGGTTTGAACAGCGCTACAATAGCTTCCCGTGACGTATTCGGACGCTCCCTCGGAATCGTAACCATTCACGGGGAGCATCTCACGAACCCCCCACACGGCCGCATCGACCTGCCTCTTCTGTTACCTCCCTCTTGCAAGGGCGTCAACGCGTCCAGGATTACCCTCAGCATATCGTTGAAACAGATTGTTGATGGCGAAAGACTCGCTGATGTTGCCGTTCCTCGGCACATGAGGGCCGCTGAGCAGCGCAAGAGCAACGACAATGTTCCAACAACCATGAGATCGTCTGCCACCACCAACACGATGTTGGTAGCGAAACGCGAGGGTGGGGAATGGGAGGCTCTGAAAGAGCAAATGACTTCGCAGCGCCCCACGCGCTGGCTGAGGCTCTTGCTCCAGGGGGCCCAGCTCCGCAGAGGGCTTGACGTGTCTGGCACGAGCGACCCCTTTTGCACTGTCTACGTGGACCGCGTATGGTTCGCTGAGACGCGTGTCTGCTGGGGCACTCTCGCACCCAGATGGGACCAACAGATCGAGATCGAGGTGTTCGGGAGGGGAGGGGCGCCTGCGCAGGGGCTAGGCTTAGTCGGCCACGAGATACGGGTGGAGGTGTGGGACAAGGACGTCGTCGGTGCCAACGACTTCATTGGGGAAGTTCATTTGTTTCTTCGCGAACGCCACGACGGGTGAGGAGTGTGTGTCGTGTGTGGCCTGGGAGGCAGGTGGAAGGCTGGCCAAGCTGTAAACTCTACATATCAGTAGAAGTAGGCACCATCATCGGATCTGGGAAGTGGTCGGAGGGAATGGGAATCAAGCTCCTCGTAGGGGAATTACAGTGTGAATTCCTGCACTCTATCTCTAACCTACCCCAGTTCCCATGGTTTAGCGGAGCGGTCCACGGATGTATGCGTTGGGAGCCTACGGCTCTCGTGTCCGCTGTATGGTACCACAGATGCACATGATTCCCTCTTGCTGTGACACGAGTTCTCATTTCACCACGTAGAAGGAGATATGCGTCGGAACGAGACCGTTGCTTGTTCTCATATTTAGCATGCCAGCAGTTGGGATTCGGGGTGCAGCTCCCGCTCGGTGACCAGCCACACACAGATATATCAGAATTCGGTGTCGCCTGTGCCAGGACATACCCCCTGGAACCCGGCCACTTCAGTGTATGCCGAGAGCTGATTCATTGACAGGTACTCTATCGTCACCCTTCGCCGCTTGCTGTGTCGTCCCATACGACCAACCAAGAATGGTCGAAGTACGAACCCGCGCGGAAACACAGTCAACGAGACAAGATGCCATGAACAATAGCCAAGCTGAGGGGAGCGCTGGCTTGCGGTACCACGCGCTCGAGCTTTGTAGGGAAGGGGAGAAAGAAGCACCGACGACGGGAAAACCAGGCGACGAGTCTATCGGCACGCTTTCTTGCGCCACAGTGGTGTACACAGAGAAAAACTGGAAGACCGAGGTAAGAGTAAGGGAACTGCGTAGTTGCCGAGATATCCCCTACCGCTCTTGGAAGACCAGGTTTTCGTCAGGATCATGAGTTCTTCAAGCAGCGTCCATGGGGGGAATCGTCCCCCCTGTAGTCTTTCTCCAAAGCAACGTTTTCTCCCAGATGTTGTGGGAGAGTACTGGCATCACTGTGCGCCACTCTCACGAATGGTTCGTTTTCACCGTGCTAGATGCTCTGTTGTAGCACGTAGTTACCCCCCCCCCCCTCAACATACACAGCGGTGCCCTTGTAACCCCTATTCTACACTTCCCTCGTCCGTGTACCCGAAGATCGTAAACATGAGCCTGCCTTGGGTACTCGGCGCGAGCGGCTCCTCTCTCGTGGGCAGCGAGGAAGATTGTATCGTGATACAGTTAGTCGGCGCCGTGTTGAAAGCGAAAATACAGCTCCCGCATGTTACTCCTGGTTCTGGCTGTTTCGCGTTGCTGCGGTGGGGAGGGCGCGTTGTGGGTCAAACACCCGTGTGTCGCGATCTGCATGAGCCAACCTGGCACGAGCAGGTGCGTATCGGATAGACTCGAAGTCTAGTTGAATTTTTTTCTCGCTCTCTACCCGACATACGCTGCTGCCAACCGTATGAGACATAACTTATGTGAATTCCCATTCGTAGAATCGAATGTCCTCGACGCTTCGTCTGCCGCACGAACGACATGCACAGTATTGTTGCCTGATTCCACAACACTGCACCTACAGATCTTTGCGGTACAGATGGACAGGAGAGTTTCGGACAACGTCCTCGACATCGACATCTACGTTGCAGACACAGATACGTCTGCGCCTGCGGAGGGTGCCTCAGCCCCGCCTGAAGACTCGCTCGTAGCAAGGTAAGGAACCACCTCAATGCTGCCATCGTACCCGCTGTGAAAAATATCAGAACGTGTGATCGCGTGAGCAAATGCTTCCAGACCAAATCAGGGGAGCTCGCCTGCTGACATAACGTGTTTCGCACCATCTGAGCCTTCAGCTCTTTGTCGCCGAAACTGCCGTTCCGCCAGGTGTCGCTTAGAGGGTCCATTTACGAGCTCAAGGTTCCCAGACTGCACAAGCAGGCACCCCCTGCTTTGTCTGGGGGACGCTGAGAAGGCAGCACAATTGGTCCCAGACCCCGACCGCCCTGTTAGAAAGACCGAAGCGAGGTCAAGGCGCAGTTGGCCGAAAAAGAAACGTAATTCCAGCGTCGTTGGATCCGTCAGCCTGCGCATCGGGATCACTGCCGCCACAGTCAGCACGTGTGGTGGTGGCATCGGCAAGGCCACAGACGCGGTGGGGGACGAAGACGCCCCGGAAGTTAGCAGGCGCAGGACGAACACGGTGAACCGTCGGCTGAGGATGCACGTCGGGTGGGTTTCGCTGGCACGCATGCTAGGCCGGGTGCCCAATTCTTTGAGTTTAACGACGGAGAGAGAAAATCCGGGAGGATCAGCGACGCACGACGAATGCACTTCAGCGCAACAACCTAGTCGGGGAAGCAGCTTAACGAGGACGCGGCAGTCTAGTCAGTCGCGTCAAAACCATCTGACTGTCGGTGGCTCGCCGGCCTTAGCGAAACAACCCTCTCGCAACAGTGGCAGTGCCCTGCACAACACAACAAACATAGCGGTGGTCCCGTCTTCTCCACTGCCACTCGCTAGTCCTACCTCGGGCGTATTTTGTGCGGTGACCTGGTGCGGAGTGCGGATGGCCTCGTTCGAAATTTGTCCTAGCACAGGACTGCCTCTCACTCCGGGAGAGTGTCTCTTGGAGCTGCCAAGGGGCACGCCTTGGACGTGTTGCCGTCTCGTGCTTGAGGTGATTGCTACCGAGGAATTCACGCAGCACCCGCGCATGCAGGAGGCTCAAGATAATTGGCATCACATTAGTCTGCTTCATTCACCGACGGACAACAACACCGCGAAAGGGCGGGATGGTCCAGATAACGGGGCTCATCATCTATTGGGAATGGTCGTCGTAGGTTGGCAGGTGAGGATGTGACCAATTGTGCGGAGGAAACCTCGAGCAGGCCCGGCATCGTGCAACGCTCCAAAATTCCTTTCTTCGGAGTGACACGCCTTCATCGGCTACGTGCCCCGTCATGAAGACATGCCCATTGCCGGAGGACGGGTCGAGGGACCGAAAGCGACCGACTTTGTGAAATACGCTTCGCGTTGTCGCTATCCCTCACGATGTTGTCCTTTTCTTCCAGCGTCCCTCTCACTCCTCGCGTACACCAATACCCAAACCGGCAGATGGCACAGAACTCTTGACAGATCAAGCCCTTGGCGCTGCGCGTACGAATGGTCGGGTCACCTCTTTTCACCGCGCGTGTTGATTTTTTCACCACGTTTCGCACCGAACACCATCAGGCACTCAAAACGATGAGAGAACAGGCTTACCGATTCACGACTTGCCCTCAAGACGCCGTTGCCGAGGAGCAGGGTGGCGAGGGGGGAGACAACGGATACACTGATCTCCAGTGTTCCCTGTGCGTCTCAACAGACGAAGGGCAGAATCGTCCGGCCCACCCCAAGAACAATGGCATCCGTGGTGATTCAGCAGACGAGGACAGCCCTCAGTCCGCTTTCTGTCCAGAACGAGGGGGCATGAGAGAAAGCCGAGCATGGAGGATCTTACCTGCGCGGATAGCGATATCTGTTCGCCTCGAGCGTCTCACACCGTCACGCATACCGCGCCCCTCCCGTGTGCCCGAAGTGGGACCCGGGAACTCTGTTTGCCGGCTACGCCTAGGTATCCTTGGAGGGTGTAGATCAACCCGCACGTCGCATCCGGGATCGCTGCGGCAGGGTCCCTCCCTGTCGGATTCGTCCACCGTTACCGTTGGGTGGAACGGCTGCGATCGCGGAGCTGGACCACCGTTGGAATGGCAAATCAAAGTTCCTCCTCTGTGTGGCAACTGTGCACCAACTTCAGGTCTGAGCAACGATATTCTGCTGGATATACCGCGGGACGGTCGAAGGGATCTCGCTTTAACCCTCAGCGAAGTAGCCACACCGCTTAGAACACACACGGGGGAGAGTACGGAACAAGGCACTGGTGCGGTGGCGACGCTGGGAAGTGTAACGATCGACTGGGACGGACTGTCTTGCCTTCCGGCAAGCTCGACGGACTACTTCGTCGAACCACCGGATGGGCGGCTGGAATCATCGAAGAGGATGCACCCACTTCAACCCTCCACGGTGAACCTAGAGTTCCTCGCACCAACAAGAGCGACCGGCGTCCACGAACACAAACAAGAAGGAGGTCTGACACCGGGAGAGTCCCAAGCCACCGGCGAAAATAGTCATGGAAACAACGGGCCCGTCGCCCGTTCTTATCAAACCACTGGGTTTCGCATCCGAGTGAAACTCCAGCTGGAATTGTCGCCAGTATCCGTCCCGCACTTGCTTTCTTTTTCGCCCGTCGCGGCAAGGGGTCCGACGGCTATTCTGTCTGGAGCAGGAGCGACACAAGACGAAGTCGGCCGCCTATCGGTGGATGGTATTTCTGTGGGAGACTTTAGGGACCCCTGCCGTAAGGAGCGCCTGCCGTACCTCCGCTTCTCGTGGCCTTGGGACGACGGTTGGCTGGCCTTGACAGAGAGACGGAGCACGCTCATCCCTCGTAAGCCTTGGCGGTTGGGCTCGCGACGTGTCGTGACTTGGGCCGAAAAAGCCAGAACCAAGCGAATTGGTCCAAAGGGCCTCAGCGAAGGATCAGTTTCGGGACGATTGCCTTTGACACTGTCGGGCCTGGATGGAAGCACGTCGTGGCCGGGTTCGCAGGAGCTCCGAACAATGCGGGAAGACAGGAACTTGTTGGCGACTAGCACCGACTCCACTGCATGTGCCTTTGCCCACTACAGACGATCGTCATTGCACCCGGTCCAGCAACATCCCCCCGTGCTTTTCGTCGAAGCGTACGACATGGGACTGTACGCCCCGTTGGAGCACCAGGCCGCAAAGACGGTTCAGCGCCTGTGGCGAAGAGCGCTTGATGCGCTCCGACGCGCCAGGGAGTGGTGGGAGTATTACGCGATGATGGACAGGCATAACGCCGCAACCTGCATGCAGAAATACTACCGCGGGTGGAGAGCATGCCGGAGGGTCAGAGTCTACAAAGTGGAGGTCGCGTTGAGGGGTGCAGCTGCCGCTGCCATACAGCGTCGATGGAGGTATTCGGGAATACTCGAGTTACT